ATGGGCCCTGTCGGCCTTGACATAAACATCTGGAACTTGGTGCATGTTCGACCCTAGCCTGGCGAAAAAAAAAACTGCCCATAGATTTCCAAGGTAGCCTTGGATGTCTGAGCTCGTGCACAAAAATATGTCATCAGGCCCTCGGTGCGCTGGGACCCAACGGAAACTTGGCCTCTGCAGGCCTTCGCCTTGAAGCTCGAATATCGTGCGCCACATATGCATGCACATGTCGGGCAGCCGTCAGATCGGGATCCCATGAGCACCCTTCGTGAACGAGCTGGAGGTGGTCACTGACCACTTCGGCCCCTCGGGGTGCAACTTCTACCGCACGCAGCGCCGCAGACCTCTCAGCGCGGGGCACCGTCTGGCGCCCAGGCAAAGGCCCGTAGAGAGCCCTGTGGGGCACGCCCCACTGGTCAACCTCGACGGCAGCCCATCCACACCGTCTAAGTTCTGGGCTTGCGTTCGCAAGCCCTGGACCGTCGGTATAGATGCGCCTGCCCCAGGGCCCCGCCGTTGCACCCCAGTGAACCGTGGGGGGCCTCGGGGATCTCTGGAACACCGTGGGGGTAAAAAAGGAGCCCATGCGCAATCTCCAGAGTGTCCCAGTCGGCCTGTAGTCCAGAGTACCCCGAGCCCCTTAAAGTTTCCCTGTGCTCTATAATGTCATCGGGAAGGGGCTCTACATCAAGATCCTCTGGGGGCTGGGTTAGAAGTGGGCACTGGTACAGCTGGTGCCCGAGTGTGGCGTTGGGGTTCGGGCAGAAATCACAGGTGGGCGTCGCTCGATATCCCGCTGCGCATTTCCTCGAGGGCGGCCAGCACCCTGATCCCAATAGTAGTCGAGCATAGCCTCTCCTGACGTCGTCCTTGATGCGTAGCATTGCAAGTCGAAGGCCACGCCGCCACACTTCTCCAGAACCAAATGCTTCAGGAATGTGCGCCAATATCCGTTTCATCTGCCATCGGCCTGTGGACTCCTGCAGCAATCTGATGACCTCCATGGGCGGCGTGTGCAGGAGAGAAATCATGGTTCCTTTACCATCGACGACTTGGTGTGCATATATCATAGCCCAGCCAGTTCTTGATAGCGAAAGCAGGGTCGCACCCATGGGCTCGTGGCACTTGGCCCATGCGAGCTTATTCCCAAAATCACGCTTCATGACTAAGAAAGCTCTCTGAAGGTCGGCAACTGAACATCTGTTGTCCCGGATCGTGCTGGCAAACCTGACAGCTAGCAAGATAGTCGCGTCATATATCGGGTCGTAGAAATCGTCCGCCTGTGTGGAAAGCCAAGCTGTGATAGACACGTGTTGGCGCGCTCACGCGAGTACAGCCGCAATGGATCTGAGTGAGTTGAGGTTAGCGTCGGTGATGCCAATCACTCCTGCTCCATGTGCGGCAGCTGGTAGCAGTCCTGTTCTCCGCAAGGTTCGGACTTTGTGGTTCGCGCCTCTCACAAGGGCGCGAAGCTTGGGTTTCCTAGCCATCAGTCCAGCTAGTCTTTTCTTCTCAAACACTAGTTTGGCCTTGGGCCCAGACAGATCATGTCCGAAGTTACGCATGTGAGGATACAGATTCATCCTGAGTCGCTTGACGAAAGGCGTGATTACTTTCTTGGCAACCGCATTGGTCGCAACACATCCACTCTTAGCCGCTTGGATGACCAATCCCAGCTCAAAAGCACACTCCGTAAAGCACTTGACCGCCGCGAACAAAACCTTATATTGTGTGGGGCCTTCTCCCGTCCATTGGAATCCCGCGTCGTCCATGGGCATGCGCGGCACGACTGAGTCGAAGAGGCCCCTCATTCGAAGCAGAAGCTGATGCAATAACAAGTGTGCCATCGTGGTCGCGTGTGTACATCCAGCTAGAATGCCTTGAAAAGATACATATTCCTAAGAAATCGACCCCCACGCTCGTACCACTCGTGGGCATTGGTAGTTGGCTAAAATTAGCCAAAGGAGTCGTAGTGGGTAGCGCAACACGTAGGCGAAGCCGACTAGCTTCTGCAATTCAATCATCTCGAAACACTTGTACATGTCGATCAGCACTGTTACCGGCGCGTGCCCTTTGTATCGTGCAACTTCTGCTTGCAAGTTGTGTGGAAACGCTGAATCTGATGATGCTGCAGCAGGCCTCACTCCCCAGAAGTCAGGATTCTGATTATCACGCTCCCATCTTCTCGAGACAGGTCTGCGGAGTCGGGCCCATATACGCACGATCGTATTGAGTAATGCCACCAGTCGGTGTCCTCCTGATGCTTTGGGCAATCGAACAAGGCGTGTCTGTAACCTTATCTGGCCAGCAACATAGCCTCTCGCACGCCTGCAACAGGAGTAGAGGTGCCTGGAGTCCGTAGTCTGATACAACATCCATCGCCTTGGGGTGGAGGTTGACCTGTCCAAGTGCTGAATTGAGTTTGAACCTGCGCAAGACTATGCGTAGGTCCGCCACGCTGACCTCTGGTAGCTGGTCCCATGTCGAGAAATCAGGTGGCAACTTCAGGCGCCTTGAGGCGTGGGTGGCCCAGATCTCAGCCCAGGTATCCATAAAAGAATCTGCCATTTCAAAAAGTTGTGGCTGTCGTGTGTGCTCCAGCACCTCCTGCAGGTCTCTGAGCTTCGAAAAACGGTGCGCCTGTCTCGCTCCGTTGTTGAAGGATGCCTTTGCCCACTCCGTCCATTCTGCCGTTTTGAATGCGCCAATTGCTTGCACCACCCTCTCCACTTTGTCTATGACGAACTGTGCAGCCCCAAGAAAATCATCACAGCAGAACTGGTGGGGGAGTTCTGCATAATCCTCGTTGCCTTAGACGCCCTGTGGAAGAAACCCTGGAGGTCCCATGCCAACTTCACAAATAGCTTGAGCTTCTTATCGTTGGCAACCATGTCGTCGGTCATGCTGAGCCCAGCGTCATATGCTCCAAAGGTAGATAGGGAGCGTGCCCAGCTTGAATAATTATCAGTAGTGTGGTTGGTCGGCAGCATGTGGCGTGGAAGTTTACCTGGTACGTCAACATCAGTCTGGAGCCTCTCCACAGCCAGGATCATCCGCAGCTTCATAGCTCTCATGTGCCGAAACCAACGTCCAATCAACTTGTAGGCCTGGGGCCTCAGAGATGGCTTGTGTTCAGGTGGGGCCACTTTCTTCCAAGACCAAGTTGGTGGGCCCGCCCTTCCAAGGTAACGCGCTCGGTCATGGCCCATTATATCATGCCTGTCCAATATCTCTTCTTCAATCTGCGTCAAGACCGCGTCCCAGGCGTCGGCAAGGGTGTCGGCATTTTCGGCCCTAGCAATAAGCTCCCTGGCCATGTCCCACTCGACGACGGGCGGGAACCTCGCACATCCTGGCTTTGGCATCGGGTCGACGGACGCAGGCTGATCAGGCACTCGCACCCACATTTCATGTTCTGCATCCTGTATCGGAACTCTGACAGGCACATGTGGAAACAAGTCCGAGTCTTCATGCACAGAAAGCTTTGCCTGCCCGACAAGCAGCCCGTGGATGCATACACATGTAGTCGTACATGGCCCCAGGCTTCGCATGCAGGCATGTGGGGCAGTTGGGGTGGATGACGATGCCCCCGATGGAGTTGAACCAATGCCGCAGGTCATCCACCTGCATGTTCCAGTCTCCCGCTAGCAGCCAAGGCTGCTCTCGGGCCTCCAGCGCGCAGACATACATGGCGACCTGTCGAAGAATCTCCACGTTGGTGTCCGAGAAGCCCTGGCCGTCGTGGAGGTAGATTGATACCATGGTGATGCCATGCTTGATGCCCCAGTGCACGTGGGCTGCAAGGACCCTGCCTGGAACCAATTCGGCTGGAGACCTCCCTGGAGCGAGGGTCACACGTACCCTGGACGGTGCCAGGATGGCCATACCCCCATGCGCCCCCCCTTTGGCTGACGGAGGGGCTGGGGCCCAACGGCCTGCGAAACCTGCTCGAACTGCTCGATGCTGGACATCGGCGAGTCGCTCTTGGTCCGCATGGTGCTCTTGTCCGCATATCACACAAGACTGCGCCCACGTCAGCTTCAGCATCTCAATTAGCGGCCCATGCGATGACACATTGGCCGTCACGATCAAGCTCGCGGTCCTGCTGCATGACGAGTCAGGATTGGACATGGCAACCGAGGCCTTCTCTGGAGTTGTTGGACTTAGTAGTGCAGCACCTGTCGCTGGTTGAGCCTCCACGGCGCAGACCGCCACCAGGATGAGCCGCAAATACCTGCAGCTGGGGCACTTGACAGTCCTCTGGCCTGGCCCGTCGTAGTGGTCCAAGGATGATCTTGAATGGCTCAGCAGTCTAGGGCCCCTGGGAGGTCTGGTGGCTCCGTGGTTCTCAGGGCCCGTCTGACCACCAGTCCTCACCAGGACATCGGCCCCAGGGCCCCCTTCATCCGTCAGAGTCCTACAGATCCCGGGTGCAGGGGCAGCGCCGGCACTGGGGATGGCATTTGGCCTGCATCTGACGTTAGACCTCCCAGTTCTGCGGTAAATCTTGGCCCTATTTCCAGCGTGCGTTGCGAGCCAGCTGATACCGAGGTACTCGAAGTAGGCATAGCTACTGACCATCGGCCGCATGATGTACCTTGCCAATCCAGCAAGTGGCGACGTATGAACCCATCCCAGGCTCGAGGAGCACCTGGGCATGGGATTTGATCCAGCGCGTGGCGGCTGAGCCTGCGATTGCCCAAACTGGCCAGCAGGACTTCGCGCTCTGACTGGCGACGAAAGAACCCTGCCCAGGTTCGAGGAGCACCTGTGCATGGGATTTAGGCCAGCACGTGGCGACTGAGCCTGCGTTTGCCGAAACTGGCCCGCAGGACTTTGCGATCTAACGCCATGCAGCAACGTGCGTTCTAACGCCCGTTCTGACATGCGAGCTGAAGCCCACGTTGTTCGCTGCAGACGTCATGAGCTTCCTATGCGAGAAAATCCAGCACGCAAATCGTAGTCATACATAGGATGCCAACAATCCAGATGACGCTGAC